TGTCTTCCCTCAACATGACGTGGATTACGTGGCTTGATGAGGCGCCGCCTCGCCTCGGGCTTGCGCCACGTTGCGTGCGCATCTTCGGCGTGATGTGGCAACAAGAAGAACGTGGAAAAGCCTGCGCCACGTTGTGTTGAGTGCCACGTCGCGCCAAATGATGCGCTCGCAACGTGGCGCGAGGCCGAGGCGAGGCGGCGCCTCATCAAGCCACGTATTCCACGTCATGTTGAGGGAAGACATATGGGATGATATCGAGGGTAAATGTTTATTTACGACATTCCCTTTGCTTTCCATCCAAAGCGATTTCCAGCTTGGCGTTTCCCACCTTGTACCAACTCCGATCAAGCTCAGCATCCAAGTCCAAGAAACCTGGATACTGACGATTCTGACTACCTAGATCTTGTAAATGTAATGCGAAAATAAAAACAATAGAATAGTAAAGTAATAGTAATAGTAAAGTAAGTAAAAAAGTCCATAACTTCGTAAGACAGTAGCGCTGTAGAGAATGAACATAGATTTGGAATCAGCGTTTCAATGTTCATCTACTAGTATACATCTTACTGCAAAGGACCACGGTCAAGTATTTGTCCTTGTAAACCGCAAAATGTACATCGAAAAAAGATACCCTGTCAAAATGCGCGTCCTTCCTCATAGCCGTCGTAGCGTGGATGAAAGTGTAATTACTTTCGACATCAGCGAACTTGTGGAGCCTTCTTCGCGAGCCCAGATATGAAACTAGAAAATAATCACAAAATCCGAAATTACACTCTATTCATGCTTCGGCTATACAATATCCTGCTTCTAGTTGAAATGTAATGCTACAAGCAGAAACGCGTTATAATGCGGTCAATGCGTCATGACAAATGCAGTCCTGGAAAACGTGGCACATTATGAGTTACTGCGCTGCGATTTGACTTCGCCACATTGTTCGGAGCGGTTCCATTCTTACTATTTATCTGCTACTATTCCATATTCTACGTCATTCGCTCTAATATAGACTATATGGAAACTTTATACACCGTAACAGGCTATTGGGTTTTTTATTTGCGCCTTTTTGATGATTAGGATATGATGCACAGAATCAGAGGGTTTCGACTAATTCGTTTATCTACAATGAAAACAAATCCAAACGTTTCTTTTAACAGGCTAGTGGAGAACAAGCGGATGAAACAGAAACTTGCATCAGACTTAACTTTCATACCCTATCTCGAGAAACTCAGAGTCCTTGATTTCAATCTCGCGCACGTTACGAGATTAGTCGATAAGATTCATAAAGTTTCAACTACAAGTCTACCCAGAAGCTCGTATTCTTCAAGATGATTGTTTTATTTTGCATGGTCAAGATCGGAGTTGAACCCTCTTTTCAAGCGAGCAAGAAATAAGGAACAAAATCACAAAGTATGAGACTGTTCGAGCAATTCGGTTGCGATAATCGAGGCTGCAGCTGGCCGGATCTTTTCGACCTATCGGTTCGCACTGTCGAATAGACAGTTTCATCTTCTTCCTTTTTCGACCAATCGGGTCGCACTCGTTCGGTCGGTTGAATACGGAACATGAATATTCAAAAACATAGTTTCTGCTTTTTTATCATTGATAAATGAGCAGTCAATACCAGTGAAAATTTGCCTAAGTAGATTCCGAGCTCATGTTGCTTTTCAAAGTATGAATAATTTGGGAAGATACGCATCAAAGTTGTCTCTTAACAAATACCAAAGCCAGATCAACCGAGCTAGGTATGTGACTGCCGGGATGAATATGGGGATCCAAGGACTAAAACGATCCAAGTTTGCTCAAGGAAAGCGTTCTTCTTTTAGTAGACTTGCGATTAGCCCAAGTAAGAACAGCATTCAAATGGCAATACACACTCATTGTCCTTCCAACGACTTTGCCTTGATTGAAAATATATTTCTGCGAAAGTACCATTTTGGAATTACAACATGCCTAATAATATTCTCAGTGATAATAGAATCTCCACTCAGCGTCAGCCTGCTTTTGTGGGCGCTCTCGATATGCTCAAGGACAAAGTCCGTACAGCCATCACATACAAGTATAACGTCATATGCTCTCTTTATCCAGATTAGAAGCATGAGCGTATAGGGGTTTCAAAGATTACTTGCAAAGGACGGTTTTTCAAGCCGCTTGATGTTAGCGTCATCGCAAACTGAACCACCAGAACAATTTTGAAAAGTTATACTTGCGACGATTTAGATTTTACATCAGGGTGTCAAAAAGAAGCTCAAAAAGTGTGTGAAGTAATTTCCAATAAATGACGTTTCAGTATAGTTGGACGCATTGCTTTTACGCTTGGAATCGCAAGTAAGAGGTCTGCCGTACTGTCACATGCATTTTATGATTGAATACTACTGCAAAGCCGAGACAGTAAAAGGGGTAAATGGTGCAGTATGTGCCGAGATAACCTGCTGAGAAAAGGAGCCACAAGCGTTTGCGATTGTGACGAATCTCTTACCCTTCGTGTATTGCAGCGAACTAATCTGTTCCTAGCTATGAAGTATGAATGTTACTTGGATTTTAGGTTTCGTGAAACGTCGGCCACAAAAAATTTGCTCCCGACAGTGCACGAGTAAAATTAAGACCATGTTGATGTAGACGAGATCAACATCTGATTAGTCCCATCCCCTTCTCACCCAAACCAATGCAAGAACGGTTGCTTGCGAAGTTCAGAACCGTCTATCCGGTTATCAAGTAACTCAGTTGTTAGAAAGGGGGCTGTGATGTGACTGCATAGCAGTAGTTTTATGGACTATCTCTGTTCTATCTAAAACCCCCTCATCTCCGTTTGGTGGCACGTATTCGTCGAGCATGCAAGAAACGTTTTGAGTTATCATGCGTCTTGCGAGCTTTTATTCGCGCTTGCTTCGTGCAAAGTAGAATGCACAAGGCTGGGGAGTAAGTCTGCAACGTCAATTGGTGAAGATTAGTCATCATAAGCAGAGGCTGAAGCAGCGGCTTACCTCGACGTAACGGACAAAATGCTGCTGCTAGGCAGAGGGTTACAGCAGATTGTAACGTCTTTTACAAACGAGCATCCTGACATTCCCGTTGTCGTGATAAACTATGAACATCATTGCTATGAAAGAGCATATGTATAAACCTCAACGACATAGGAAAATAGCGCCAAAGACTTCATGGCCGCCAGGGATTGTCGCTACCACATTGATTTCTACGATGACGGATAAGTGAACTCAACTAGTCTATGACTGAAACCACCGCACACCAGAGAAAAAGCGAAGAAAACTACGCAAGCTTTTTGAGGTATTAGGTTAATGTCTGGGATAAAATGTTTTGTGACCCCGAAGTCTCATTTGGCCTGTTGATGTACTTCTTTAAGACATGATGCAGAATGACAAGCCATTTGGAGGTAAGCTATTTATTTTTGGTGAAGACTTTCAAAGTGTTAACTTCTATCAAGCTTGGGAAGAGAAATACTTGTAGCGGCATGTGTCAGTGGACCGCAATGACTCTATTTATAATAGAATCATTGTTTGTATGCAATATGTAAGCTCAATATGCAAGAGTTGATTGACATGTCATCTTCTGGACAATTTTCTTCAGAGACATTCTAAGCCCTCCATTCTTACTGAAGAGCTCCGGAGAGGGCTTGGAAATCAATACAATTGGTCTAAGGAAAGGGATGGAAAGGAGAATAATGAACTTTGTTTTCTTTCTTTATTTTTATAGCACCGTGTTTTGTGTGCTGTTTTGCTTGCAATGTGATTCTTGGCATTATGTTATGTGCTCTGATGTTTCTTGAACCAAGAAAGATTCTAGTCTGGATATAAAAAATCTTCTTTTTATCCCGCACAACGTACTATCGTATGCGGCCTAAAGTTTTGCGAGATTGCGGGATTTCAATTTTTATTTAGTTAATCTTTTCAATGTGTATGCAGTGCCAGGAAGCTACCCGAGGCAGCTGAATAGATTCTATCGTACGACCGACACTACCGATCCTAGCTATCATGATGTTATGAACGACATTGTATCGTTATGAGGCATTATCTTTCGTTGTTTACCAAAGGATTTTGAGATGAGATGAACTTTTCTAGCAGATGCATCAGTTCCGCTAGTCAAGAAAGAGCAACGAATGTTACAGCGAAATTCTCCACATTGTTTATATTTGCGTTTACGCGTGTGGTAAATGCAAACCCCTTCTCTTATTGCCTAGAATGTTCTTGTAGCCTCAAACCTAGTGCTCTTTCGGTTCTTTTCCATTGTAGCTAGAGTCGCATGTAATACCATCTACATAAGTTCTGCTTTCAGGCGATGATCGACATTGTTGCACGAATATAACTGCAAAATCTTTACTTGTGGTAAAGCCTACTTTATACAAATTATCGTCGCCTAGAATATCTATCCAGAATGAATGGTGTCCTTGCTCGACTGCGCCTGCTTAATTCTCTGCTGGCAATACTTGCTCATTTGAGATATACAGACAGAGACAGTTCCTTGGTGAAAAATTTTATGTGTGGTACGTGATCTACTGTGCTTCTCTCCGGCGATGATCAGCAACACATTTCACACCGCGGCTTACGATTATTTTGCCCACTAATCCTCCACGACTACAAAAGGTATTTAGCAGGACGGTGGAATAGGTAAAGTACAAACCGTACAATATGATGTTTATATACGAAATAAATAGAATTAACGTGTAATCATTCCTATAACACAACAACTATTTACAAATTATAGCAATCACATCAGCAAAGATAGTCTGGTAATTTCTGGTTTCAATTCGCAGCTAAGCTCCACCTTTATGTGACTTGATTATGTACATAATATGAGCTGAAGAAGTGGAGTTGCAAGGCAATAGAGTTAGTTGGAATTCTAAGTTGACACTTTCGTAACTCTAAGATCTACATCTACAAAAGCTTTTCTAGAAGTGAGCGGTGCTAGTATGCAGTTCGTCAGAAAAGGCAGGAAAGGGAAGTTTGGGCAGAAAATTTGTACATGCTACTCTAAACTAATCTAAATTGGTTTGATTTGTTCGAACATGAACGTTGAACCGTCAATGTTCTACAGCAACTGATGGCAAGTGATTGCTTTCTGTCAACGAATTCTGTTCTCGACAGGACGTCTGAAAAACATGTTGTCAATTCTGAAAATCAAAATGCACTATGCATTTATGCTTCTACTTGGGATGGTGCCAATGCATGCTAGTCAGGGAGGAGCAGTGTTTTATGAGTGGAAATGATGTGATTAGAGAAAAGAGTAGGGGTAAGCAGCGTTCACTCTAAACCTATCTAATTTCAACATACAGTGCTGGCCAAAAGTTTGCAGCCACTCTGACAAATAGCTGTAATTCACTTCGCATTTTACATAGAGAACCCAAATTATAGCATTAAGTGCAAATTATTCTACTTTGCAATGTATCAGAATATCTTGCGATTTGATGCACACAAAAGGTGATTTTGAGAAATTGGCCGAAATGAGGTTGGTCAAAACTTGCAGCCACTTTTTATTAATCGTCTTTGTGGAACTTTCTAAACTTCCATTAATCGTGCCACGGATGTATCCATAATTGCTGGAATGTGCTCGATAATTAGTTCCACCATACTACAAGAAAGGAGACTCTATGGGCCAAAATGAATTGACCGCAAGTTGACTGTGAAAATCGGAAAAACGTCAAGTTGCAAACAAATAATTGACATGTACATGCTCTTATGAAAAAGTTTCACCAATTAGACGTATGAAGTCAATTAGTTTGTGCGAAGAACAAGCATTACTTGGTTTGAATGCAACCTGATTGTCACTTTTGCTTGGGTTTGGCGCATTTTGCAGCTCGGAATTTTGGCGCAGCGGTCCGCAAGAAACTCAAACTCAATGACACGATCGTTTTTACAAAGATAAACGTTTGGTGGAAGCTATCAGACCTCCACAGAAAAGATGGAGCTGTTTTTGTCATAGGAGAGCGGGCGCGACTTTTGCGTTCATGAAAACTGGTATGTAACAATAGAAATTGTTAGGTGTGCAAATCGCGCACGCTTTCTTGTCGCAAAAACAGCTCCATCTTTTCTGTGGAGGTCTGATAGCTTCGACCAAACGTTTATCTTTGTAAAAACGATCGTGTCATTGAGTTTGAGTTTCTTGCGGACCGCTGCGCCAAAATTCCGAGCTGCAAAATGCGCCAAACCCAAGCAAAAGTGACAATCAGGTTGCATTCAAACCAAGTAATGCTTGTTCTTCGCACAAACTAATTGACTTCATACGTCTAATTGGTGAAACTTTTTCATAAGAGCATGTACATGTCAATTATTTGTTTGCAACTTGACGTTTTTCCGATTTTCACAGTCAACTTGCGGTCAATTCATTTTGGCCCATAGAGTCTCCTTTCTTGTAGTATGGTGGAACTAATTATCGAGCACATTCCAGCAATTATGGATACATCCGTGGCACGATTAATGGAAGTTTAGAAAGTTCCACAAAGACGATTAATAAAAAGTGGCTGCAAGTTTTGACCAACCTCATTTCGGCCAATTTCTCAAAATCACCTTTTGTGTGCATCAAATCGCAAGATATTCTGATACATTGCAAAGTAGAATAATTTGCACTTAATACTATAATTTGGGTTCTCTATGTAAAATGCGAAGCGAACTACAGCTATTTTTCAGGGTGGCTGCAAACTTTTGGCCAGCACTGTAGAAACAAAGAAGTTCACAGCACTAAATCGAACCTACCAAGGAGAATGACATAATCCCATGCCCTCCACTTTTTTCCACTGAAATTTATAGACTGAAAGTGGCGAAGAACATGCCTTGCTATGCAAAACCCAGATCTTTGAAAATCTAGCGTGCACGGTTTGCGAGCACTAACGAAAAAAAGAAGCCAACTGCCTGCATGCTAACAACAGGAAGTCGCGAAATATTCCTTCTAAATTCTCTTCGCCAAAAGTACAACCCAAAAACTGCATAAGCAGGAATAGCCTGTAATCTGCGCTTTTTGAACGTCAAAATACTACCGTAACAAGCGTTTGACGCCATCCTGCCACTGGAAATTTGAGAAACAAGAGCTAAGTCTATCCTACAAGGGTTATGCTTATGAAGACTGCAGCTGTTTGAAATAGCGTTGTCTTACCTCTTAAATGTTTTCAAAGCTTCGGCTCGGGACCAACATATAAACTAACCAATAGGAACTGTCTACTGACAGGCACTACCCACTATGCTTACTGCTCGACGGCTTACCTGCACTGCTTTTGGTGCACTACCATCGGACTGCTCTTTCGCATTTTCGGAACTAATCCCGTCGGGCGCCGAAATTGAATGATCACACTGAAAAAAGTCATTAAAGCTCGTAATGAGCCAAACAAGTTAGCATTCATCTATCTAACCAGCGTGCTACTAAAGAGAAAAGAGAACTTATGCAAAGGATCCTAAAAGTCGCTTTATAAGACGCACTCCTTCTGCACTTCACAAAATCTTCAAAAATCTAAATTCTAGGCAACTATAGCAAAAGCAATAGTAGCCAGACCATAATCAATCCGCAAATGCGGCATCATTGTCATTTAGACTCACACTTATGTGAGAAGTAATTACCAGTGATAATCTGCCTCCCTACCTAAGACATGAGCTGATGCATTTAGGGTTAAGCCAGACTGCACGGTGCGCTGGGCGCGCTGCCAACGCTTGCTCTTGAACACTGATATGGTCATTGTAACTGATTTTTCTTAGGACCTTGTACTAAAGAGACGCACCCCATATCGCCAAAACAGGTGTTTCAACAGTCCAGACTTCTAACTCATCCCAGTGTCGCTCAACTGATGAACATCGAACCGCTTGTCAGTTGTGCGATTTGCACGGAATTAAACAGAAGACCGCTTCTGACACAGAAAATCAAAGGAAGTAGATATGCGTACATCATAAGGCTAAGCAAACTTTCAGTCGAAGTGGGTGCGTGTTGGAAATTTGATCAAAATCGCAGGGCTAGAATCAACACCATCCAACGATAACGGTCATTAATCGTGCAAATATCAAGTATATTACCCTGCAGAGACTTTGATAAAGATCGATTACCGGTATATTCGCCTTCCCAGCAGCTACAGCAGTAGGAGCATTTCAGATATAATCTCATCAATATCTTTCTGACTAAGGAAAAATCCTAAGTCGCCGTGATGATCAGGAACGAATGCGCATGTGCGCCTTGTTAAGCTGATTCCAAATCTCACTTACGCACCTGTTGCGCGGTTCTCTGGAAAAAGTTACGAGCGTTTAAAGATCCAAGTTTGGCAAATTTACGGTGCCACAACAACAAGAAGTACTGGTTCAAAAACACTTATAGGCGCCGTAAAACCTAATTGACCGCGGCGTGCCTTGAACACCAGCGTAAGCGAGCGGTCGTCGCGAACGACTCTCGGCGTTCACTATATTTCAGAAAATCTTTCTTTGACTTTCATGTTGTTCTCGTCAATGCAAGGTATAACTTGACGAAAGCTCCCTTCAAAAGTGTAAAAAAATATGTGTGGAAAGGGTGCGCGCGGGTAGGGGAACGAAAGCCGCCAGCTTCGGTCGCCTGCGCGGACTGCTGCTCCTGGAACGATCAAACTGGCGGCTTTCGTTCCCCTACCCGGTGCGCGCTCATTGTTGCTCGCAAAAAGCCTGTAGCGCTTCAGGACCAAACGTTTCCAGCCGCTCCGCGCGTTGGTGTTTAAAGGGACACGTGGGCAATTGGATTTTACGGGGTCTGTATCTGTATTTACGGTATTTTAGTCAGGTACGCTCATCACAATGCTAATCAAGCGCCAAAAAGGTTTTTTTAGCACATTGCGCATTACAACTTTGATTACGGGTAGAGGAACGAACGCCCAATGAGGCATCGCCTCCGCAGGCTGCTGGTCCTTTCGTCCTACTGTTGTGCATCGTGTTGGGACCAGTGTTCCGCGGAGGCGGTGCCTAATTGAGGTGTTCGTTCCTCCACCCCTGATGACTTCATACATTTGACTCGTTGACGAGACTGTCGCGCAATGGTGCGCGACACTCTAAATATCAGTCCTAATGTGCAGTGGTTCCAATTTGTGTTTACATAATCAATTTAGGCTCAGTAGTATTTCACTGGCCCAGCCCCCCATTTGGCAACTCCGCCCACTCCGTTGCCTTCTACGAAAAAACTTTTGTTTTCATGTCGCATAGAAAAGGTCACAGATGACTGAGAACTCTCAGATTAACCTTAGTTTCAACTCCGACCCCGTTATGCAGACTCCACCCCCTCGTGGCAAGCTCCGCCCACTTTTCGAAATTGCTGGAATCTGCACGAATTTTTTCAATTTTGAGCTATTGCCAGCATTTTTGTGAAGTGGGCGGAGCTTGCCAAAAGGTGGCGGGCTGCCCCGCCCACTTGAATTTTTGTACATCACGCATAGGTGCATGCATACATACAAGCATGCGGGTGTGAATATGTCTGGAAACAGTTCGTCCACAGGGACAGACATCAAAAAATGGCTTGTCGTCAACAAGCTGTTAATCGCCCATAACTTTTTCCAGAAACCCATGGAGCAGATATGAAAGTAAGGAATCAACTCAAAAAGACAAAACTAATGGTATGCATTTCGTTCAGATCGCCAGGGCGACTTGGGACCTCTTCCTTGTGAAGTTGAGCATTTTAGGACTAGAAGGACGCAAAGATTCTGACTCACAGGCTGATTCTTTTCCCGATACGTATTCACTGCTTTCACGTCGAATTTAAACATCTCCACTTCACAAGAGTAGGCTTTCGGGGTTAGCTTGATTACTGTATGTAGTGGAACTCGCAAATATGGCAATTCTTCTGTGTTTTTATTGGTGAAGTAGGCTAGGATACATCTCAATACTGCCTGAAAAGCAGATTCAATCGATATAAGTGACAATCGCAGGCTTTTCAAGTACCTGATGGGATATGACAAGTATGTTAGACTGCCGTTCAAGTTCCATGATGACTGGCTCCAAACGGGTTACCAGGTCTTCGTAACTCTAAATTAGCTTTGGGCAAAAGATAACCGATTGTCAAATTTATTTACCTCTCCGCTTGGATAACGATAATGGTACTTGTCCTTATCACGTTCCGCAAACTGTTTAGGGTATCGAGCTTGGAAATCTTCATATGTAAGGCCTTCGCATATACCCTGAGATAGCAATCACCAATTACTCAGACAAATCACCGGAACTTCCGCAGGACAAGCCAAATTTGCAGAAGTTCCGTAGGATTTTGTTCACTGTCGCAAAAATGAAAACGTTGAAAACCGGAACTTTCGCAGAACCTTCTTCAAAATCCTGCGGAAATCCCGAAAAATGGCAGAGGTTTCGCAGCGCTTTGGCCTTCCAGAACTTCCGCAGGATTTTGAATGTGTTGTCTCGTGATGTTGCCTCGCCAACTACTAGAGTGCATTATTTTACATGTCAGCCGTAGAGGATAGTAGGTGGATCTCACAGTCAATAAAGTGAAATTCAAATCTCGCTTCGGTGTTCTCTTTTGCTGTTGTGGTTGGCATTCTTCGGAACTTCGGCAGGTGACCCGGCGAAACTTCCGCAAGCGCTCTGCGCAAGTTCCGGTCATTCGTCAGAGTATTTAACCATTGCAAAAAATTATGGAAAACATACCGCGTCAATTTCATCCAACACTTTCCAGTACTCAGTAGCAGTTGCTTGTTTCTTCAGAGAAGCAGCTGTTTGAGCGGCACGAATTCGCTGCGATGACCATACTCGGAGATCAGAGATGTCTTCACTCTAGATTGGTGATTTTGATCCAGAAAAAGGATAGAAATTTCCATGACTCACTTCAAAGTAGTCTTTCAATTTTTCCGCATATTTTAAACCATTTTCACTCAGTGGACTGTCACCACCAAGTCGTCCAAGTTGGTTATACTCGCTTTCGCCGTGCTGGAATGAAATCCTGCCGTTTGTTCGCAAATTCTTAATCCTTTCACGATGTGGACCTTTTGCGCCGCTACAGTATACTACCGTAACACTCTTGAATAGTGCTCTGGGCTGGAGACAAAAAGGAGTCTTCCGAGGAGAGACAAGAGAGGAAATTGTAACAGTATACAGAGACGCTCTCACAAACATCTCGATCACGATAGCATACTATAGCGGTGCAAAAACGCCCGTAGACTTTAATCCGTAAATCAGACGTGGAGAAGAGAGCAAATACCCTTTGATTCAACTGGCTTGGCGGCTGGAAGGCAGAGCTTCGTGACCTAACTTAGGCTAGGTAGTGAACAGAAAGCAGATGAGCGGGAGAGGCTCCGCCTTCCAGCCGCCAACCAATTGAATCAAAGGTTTTTGATTACTTTCCCATCAGTCAATCTTGCAGAAAACGATTATTTTTAGCTTTAAGGTGTATATTTACAATTTTTGCTTACCCGTGTGAGGTAGATGCTTCGAGGTAGTAAATGGATATTCATTAAAAAGTAAACCACACGACTTTGTACATGTCCGTTAACGTTGTGGACGTAAAAAGATTTGCCAGCGTTGATGACCTAAACTGCACCTATATTGTGCCTAATAGAATGGTACCCGATGGTATTGTACCTTGATGAAGGACAGATCCTCGTCTTCTTCTTCATCCAGAGGTTCGTATTGCAGTTTGTAGTTTTCTATTCGTTTCAAAAAATCTTGCTTTGCTTCTTCATGAGACATGATGCCTTTGTAGTCAGGTGAGTTGATTTTCACTTCCTAAATGACTTCCATTACTTTCATTTTCACCTAAATATCTTTTGAACTTACAGTGATATTGGAGTTGATAATATGGGGATCGTCACATATGCTTTCAACGAAGAACACCCGGAAAGGGGGATCAACTAGGGTACGCCTGTTGGCGCAAAATTCAGCAACCATTCGTCGCCGTGCTCGGGTGGTATTCGTAGCGTCAAGTATCTGAAAAAATTGGTCAAGTAATGAAAGACACTTTAAAATATGCTCGTTCCAGTGGTGGATCGAGGAGAACGGAGGGTGAGGAGGGGGGGGGGGGGTGCGAAATTTCTGATAGCCTACATGCAGGCGGTAAAATCCTGCAAATTATTTGTTTTCACTTGTAAGGGTTTGAAAAGTTTTCAAAATTTCTCAAAGATCAAAACAGCTTTGCGAAAAAATTTTTCCGGAACCAAAAATTATTCGGGCGCGTGACTAATGCCCTAATTCAAAATTTCTGTCGCGCCCTCGCAAAAAATGTTGAAAGCCAGGTTCATGTATAATTTAGGACATGAACCATTTTCGGATATTCCAACCCAGTTTTTCTAAAAAATGAGTAAATTAACTTACAGCCACTTCGCCTTCTTTTGACGATAGATATTGTCCCATGTCTTCGATGGCCAATCGAGCACATTCCCTGGATTCAAAATATTCGATTCTGAATTTTTACGTCATAAGAAGAACTCACTCCCTTATTCTGTTCCCTTTAATATTATATGGGCTGAAGAACTCGAAATCGCCTTCCTTTTCAAGATCGCATGCTTTTCGTCGATACTCGCCGACATTAAAGGCTGAAAACGGAAGTATGAGAATTCCAGGTTGCTAATGGGTCCAACTACTAAGGGAAAGCGCGTTACCTCTAGTTTTGATCCCGATCCAATTCAGATATCGGCACAATTTGTGTGAAATGTAGGTTTTACCCCGTGCTGGTAGGCCGACAAGAGCGATCACATTTGGCACCCGCACTTGCACGTTCGCATCTGCAGAATAGCAAATTTAAAACAAATATGTGTCATTTCTCTCTTTTTCAAAAGCAGTTGCTGATTGTTGCGGATGGAAGTTAGGGACCGGAGCGTTGTTTACTCCAGAGTGCACTCGCACTTTTAACTAGAAGACGCTGATGACATCATTTTTCATGTAAGACAACTGTGCGACAAAAATTTATTGATTTATTGAGACGATTGTAGCTCAGCAAAACAATCAACTTGTATATCCCAAGAATAGTAGTTACGTAATTTTTAAAATGTCTAACTACTTCAAGTTTGAATTCTCAGCTACTTTTTGAAGCATCTATTTCGACTTTCCTTTTCCTCGCTCTTGCTCTTTGGCCATTCCCATGTTGAGCTTTCCAATGAGACTCAACTCTTTCACAAAGCACTTTCTTTTGCTTTTCAAAAAAGACTGAATCTCGGGATATCAGAAGACCTTTCGCTTACATGTCAAAAAATACATTTTTAAAAGCCAGATCTTTTACAAAAAGACTTCCCGTCAGAGTATCTCCCAGTTTTTTTTCATAGCTTTTGCTTCAGCTACATGAAAATGCTTACATTACCGCTATAATGATTCAATTATTGATTCATCTTAATTTGAGCTTTAAGTAGATGGTAAGACACTAACATAAGAAACGATGTGAGCTGTCGAGTCTCATAGAGATGAAGATCTTCATCCTCTCAGATAACCGACAGGAACTTCCGCAGCATTTTCGCTCGCGTGCTGCGGCAACGCTACGATTTTGCAGCATTTCCGCAGCGCTTTGTGGAAAGAGCTGCGGAAGTTCCGGTTTTTGGTCGCTTTGACGCCAAATTCCTGCGAAAAGCCCGCATTTCGGAGCGTGCATTTTTTATGGTTAAGAAAGTGCCGTGAATCCGCTACAATTTCTGCTTGTCCTGCGGAAGTTCCGGTGAATTGTCTGAATTTAACTCTCTCAAGCGTACACTCTTACTGTAAAATGATTTTTTCTCGCTCTCGTCGTAATCATATGCTAACGTTCACGGAAATTCATTACATTTCCTCTTGAATTTTCTCGTTGTTATGCAGCGTGCGAAATTCGACACTTTATAATTTTTGCCTCTTGTGAAATGAATATTCTCCGTATTGACACTTTTTCGACCTATCAAACAACGTCAGGAACCATTGCCAATATGGGAAGAACTAGTTGCAAACCGAAGACACCACGTGCTCTTGCAAAAAGTGGCATTAATGTATTGGCAGAAGGTGTGGAAACGTGCGATTCCTTTAGAGATTGGAAAGTCAAAAGTTATCGGAATGCTATTATTCTCCGATGGCATGCGAATGGGAAAAAGCTCAACATCAAAAGTTCTGCGTAAACATCAAAAAAGTAAGAGTCCCAAGAATTTTCACTATGTTTTGCAAGTCAAGAGATAGGATATCTGCAGGCAAAATTTTTATCTCATTCAACAAAAAATTATGAAGAATCATCTCAAACTTCCGTGACCCCCTATATATTTCCGATAAGATGTTGAACTGTGATAATGACAGAGAATCAAAGTGATCCATCTGGCAAGAGATAGCGCTCTGCTCACAAACCGGTCTCCAAAGACTTTTTGGCCAATGTTGTCTCAAAATCTTACGGTTGCAGGAAGAGTAATCATTTTGTTTGAAACACCTATGTCCTCTTTATTTGACGTCAGGTTACGGTACTCTCCAAAAAAGTAATTTATTGCTTTATGAAGTGGTTTTTTTATATGTGATTGAGCAAATGGTTCGATCTTAAAAGAATGAATGGCTGTAATCGTGAGAGTCATAAACTGGCAACATGAGATTTTCAGTGTACATATGTTGCCCTCCACGACAACAATATTTTATGTATTTCTTATTTAAAGAGTTTGTGACAAGGTTGAGAATCACATGGCGGAAGTAAACAAGCACATATATCAAAAATTTTGAACAATGGGCCCTGCTCTTTGTATTTTGAAAAGTTTATCTGGGATTAAACGTATTCGTAAGAACCTCAGCGGAGAATATTCTCAAAATTTTCAGAAGAAAAAGGGGAAGGAAAAAGACGAAGATAAAAAGATATTTTTTATGGATGAAATTTATTGTTCAATGCTTCTACAAAGACTACACTTGTGGCTTGCTCGAGGCATGGAAATAGATTCAGGCATTATTTTCACAAAAATAGATTCCAAGAAAATCCAAAACATTAACGAGGTTTCAAAAAGGTTTTTACCATTTGCCCGACGATGACGTCAAAATGAATAATTTGCTCTACGGAAAATTTTTAGCAATTTCGATGCTCTGCTGCTAAATGTGATTACTGCATCTACTGCGAATGCGGAAGTACTAAAATAACATAAGCGGATTAAATAGTGCAAATACACCGCACTTCTTATCGAAAAGAGAACTTTGTTGTTTTATCTCTGAACATGGTCAGTTCTTATGTACTTTACAGCTTGGTTCTGTCAACACTGTCTACATGTACTTTAAATCGTCGCTTATTTGCTGTAACTTGCTTTTCGTTTTTTTTCTGAGAAAAAGAGGTCTGCGGCTTTTTTTGTAGTATATGTACTGATATGCAGCACAAATGACACATAATGACAGGAGAATTTGGAAAAAAGGGAGCGTTGGCCTGGAAGAGTTGTGGATTCTTTCAAAAAAGTTCAAAGGCAATAATTTGTGTAACAAGTCAAAAGCCTCTCAATACGATAAGATGTGTAGTTTTTTCAAGGGGCAAAACGAGGTTCAGAAGTCAAAATGGGGTATCTAATAAGGTTCATAGGTTCTCTGTAAGTCAGACAGTCCATGTGAGCTTATTGTAGCTTTTAGGCAAGCGCCATGCTTGATCCGCTTGATCCGCTTCGTCATTGGTTGATTCAGTGAACTGACCAATAACGAGGAGCTGTCCACTTGAATCCACTTGATCCACTTCACTATTGGTCGGTTCACTGAATTGACCAATGACGAAGCGGATCAATTGGATTAAGTGAATTAAGCTTATCGTGGTGCGTACCAAAGATGTGTCAAGAAGACAATGACTACCATAAACATTTGATTTCTGTCTTTTTCAGCGAGGAAATTGCTAGAATTTACTTTTCGGATTCTATAGAAAGATATCGGAATTGGGAATCATGAAGAACAAAGCATTGAGCGATTTAATCTAAGGTTGAGCAGAGACAAAGTTGAAAAAGGCTGGAAGGATGGTTTAAGAGAACTCAGCAGATGCTAATACAGAAAAATTGCTTCCACAAAAAGAAATTATCCTATTGTTGTCTTAGAAAACTTTTAATGAACAACCGTGAGCAGGAAAAGGCACAAAGAATTAAAACGAAGGAAAACTCTTATACGCAACGAAACTATTACTTCTATTCCTCTACTTCTAAACGTACCTGCGTCGGGGCCTCCCACTTGGAAGTACGTCATTTTACGTTGTGGAACACCGGCAGTAGCCATGTCCTTAAGAATTGAAGGCGAACTTTAAACTTTGATAAAATCACAACGTCGGCACAAAAAACGGTCATAAGTGGCGAACGTGGTGTCAATACACGCGGATTCACAAACAGGAAAAATAGGAAACGTAGTTTTCTCAGCGAAAAGACAGGCATGATGCTGGCAGAAATTAATGAGCATGCGCGAAAGTTCGGAAGTAGAACTTTAGTTCACATGTGGAGAACAGAAAGAAATTTTAGAGGCAAAGAGACACACATGTGACAGAAGACTATTAATTTAAGCAGATGATTTGGGCATCAAATGTGAGATAAGAAGTCTTTGAAAAGGAGGACTTCCTTAAAACCGAAAGGAATTGAATGTGTGCCTGAAAGCTTGTTGATCAATTATATTTTCTTTAATAATCGTCTGAGAAGAATTTTGAACATTTTTCCCATAATATTTGCATTTCTTTGAGTAACAAATGCACTCCCCCCTCCCCCCGAGAAAAGGTAGCGGAATTTTAGAAATTTATTTATATGGCTTTTTAAAATGTACAAGTAACTTGTTTAAACTTGTAAGTTATTAAAACAATTTTCAATTTTTTTAACGGTCTGTAAAAAAAATTTTTCGGGGCTTCGCAAATCCTGGTAGATCAGATGTGCTCCCTATATATGAGTCTGACTATTTCGGGCTAAGAAACTTAGCTTGGAAAACTTCCGTAACTTCCTTCAGATTTCCTTTCATAGTTGAAAAAGAAAAAGATTTCCAACCAGCATATGAAAGATCGGTCATATTTTCCCTCGAGAGACAGTGAACACTGAAATAAGGAATGCAGAAAGTATTAGCAACATATTTGCTTCTCTGACGAGAAATTCTAGGAAAAAGTAGGGTTCTTGTAAGAAATTCAGTTCTCGATCAGATATGAAAATTGTGATGAAAGTGCAAAGGTTGGTAGAGAATGGTAAAAAGAGAAAAAAAAATTAAGTACAGATAATCTCTAGTTTCGTCTATTCAACAGGACGGAGTCTCTAATAAGTTAGCATCACATCTTTGATCGTTACTATTATTTTAGGAGCAGGTTAACATTAAATATAAGTCTTAACCATACAAAACCCAGGTATGCAATAGCTAAATATTAACTACAAAATTGCAGTGCGAGTAATGGAATAAATTCAAGACAATCTGCCACAGCCACACGAACTGACATCGAGAGTTATTCTGACAGTAACTATGGCAATAAATTTGAAGAATCTAATCATTTCTCAAGGTGAATTTGTTCCAAAGGAAAACATGAGAAATCAAATGGTAATAAAATAATTGAATGCGCTCAAAACTGAACTATGTTTAAGGTTAGCTGATTGTTGACAAGTTAAACTCAGCAGGCATTCAGTCAATTTAAATCAAATTTATAAGAAAAGAGAGAAGAGAATTGAGTACAATATTTTGTGCAAATTGTTCAGCAGGAAACGAACAGTGAATAGTATTGAGCGATTTCCCTTTTAAAAAAAGGCCGTCTGCTTAACAGAGCATCTTATAAGAAATGAAAAATAAAATTAGAAAGATCATCAGATACTTTTTCCCTTAAAGAGGTTTATTCTTTAGCAACACTAAGGAGCTATTTGTAGCCTTTGAATAAAAACGCAGAGTACATGATTTACATCGTTAAAGTACACCTGCGAAAACTGAAAAAAGCATCTTCTCGAATTCCTATCTGTTCTTTTTGCATGCTTTCAAGTAATGTCAATTTGCACCTTCTTTTTTTTTAAATTTATGGTTTTTTTTTTCACTAGCAGAATAGCAAGCAGAATACTGATAGCTACATAGCAATGCATGAAAAATTTGGACCCTTGCAGATTTTTCAGGCCACTTGAGAATTGATTTACTTTTGTTTCAGATTCTCAATTATGGAGCAACAGCGCCATGAGAACCTAGACTAAGAAAAAAATGTAGCAAACTAAGCATCAAAGATGATGGTAAATTAGTGTTGTATAATACTTTGGCATTTTGATTATCTTTACAAATTTGATAGGATTTTCCTTATCATAGAGATTTTCGGACAGCTCTACCATACAATTAAACTTTGCAAATTGCAAAAGTAACCCAAGGATCTTTGAAGTTCATATATCAAACGAATACTTTGAAACATTCTTAGCAACGGAATTTGCGCACGAAGAAAAAAGGTTTTAGAGTTTATCAGCGATAGTTGTGGTCAAATGTTTATCCTTTGATTCAACAGGATTGGCGGCTGGAGGGCGAGGCTTCGAAGGCTAGGGAATGATCAGAGAGCACGGCGCGAGAGAGACGCAGAGTGCGTCGCGGGGGCGAACGGTCGCCTTCCAGCCGCCAATCCGGTTGAATCAAGGGTTAATTACATGAAATAAGAGTACCAAAATACTGCATTTTAGGTCTTTGAAAGTTTGCGAGCTTTTATTTCAAGTGAATTACTTTTTGAAAGCTTTGGCTATAAGTGTGCAGTACAGAAAAGAGAAAAAAACTTTTCTTTACAGGTGAGAAGAAATCCAATTTTACGAGATGAACAAAAGGAAACTTATAAACTTGTACAATTTCAATAGATCTTAGAGATGAAAGTGTACGGAAGATGAATAGCTCCAGAGCTTTAATGAGCTTTTTATCCTGCGGCAGAATGAATGGAGCCCTCATTGGTCTTCGGATGAATAAGCAGCCGCTTACTTTTTGCGCAGCTTTTAATACCCTTTTCTAAACGGAAAACGTTAGCGATGGCAAAATGTAAGCTATGTGGGGTTTTTCTTGACCAAAGGCTAAAGCAAAAGCTCTGGCTGGGAACAGGCGCTTCATTGACATATCGTCGACTCAAGCAGAGAGGCTAAGGCTGTGTTCCAGTGCGGAAAGCTCGCTCAAGCTGAAGAAAAATTTCCCCTTGTTACGTAATGAATTTTAGAGGATTTCCTATAAGAAAGAAGTCAGAGAACAAAGCCGTGAAAGAGACGGGAAATGTCGGCACACAGAGAAGATCTTGCGCGCCATGGTGAAAAAGCGCAACGAAAGCGAAAGGCATGACGTCAGGTGCTGTTGAGACTCTTACACCTCATCCCAGCCTGGGGACGAGTTTACATTCGTAGCGAAGCAGTGATTAGAATGTTCGGAGCTCTCACGACTGAAGCAGGAAGCCGATTTGGTCGGTCCCGAAATGATCTCTGGTCGCTTTACTGCCTTATTTCTTCAGCGCTCTTGAGCGGGAAAAAAAAGTAAAGAAAAAACACTTGTACTTGTCATTGCTAATTTGAAGAGGAAGAAGTGAAAAGCACATGCAAGACACTATTGAGAAGTCAAGAAAATTGCTCGAGAACTGATAATTGAATTTCATTTGAATTTAAAAAATAGCTAAAAAAGTCAACTGAAGAGCGTCATTTTTCAGTAAATAAGGTATGAATGGAGGCGCAAAATTCAATTCAGATTTGGTTCAAAGGGATATTCTTGAGAGAATTTCTGATTCTTACGTTCTCAGCCGATGTTACACTTTTTACGAGACGGTAAAGCCACGGGTATAGGCCATTATCAAGTGGTCTATATACTTTAGACTATCAACAGCTCTTTTTTACAACGAATATGCTATCAGGAGAAAAGGTAAACTTGGTACTTTATACGATTACTCGAAAAAAAAGCTCTCTTATAATCTCTTTTTACTTTACTCCCCCTTAGCCAATCGCTTCTAACGATGAATTCCTGAGAAATTTAAAAAATCAGATTTTTCGTTCGAAAGTAGTGAAAAAATGGGCACCCTTCATAAAAAACGAATTACGGACTTCTATTCACTCAGATTTTCGCTTATTCTAAGATGTTATACGTTTAAACTTCTGCTTCAATCATCTACAATCTTATCAGAATTTCGTCGAGGAATGCATATATTAGGTTGAACCGAAAGTTCTGTCGCACCATTTTTAAAAAATCATAACTTCTTTCGGTCATGACGATTTTGCGCAATTCAAATTTTGTGTGAAAGCGTAAAGCATGTAGTTTCCAAAAGCTCCCTGAGGAGTTTCCGACATGCTCAGGTGGCAGAGATGAAAATGAAAGAACGAGATCATCCGAAATTCAGAATTTTTAAGCAAGAATTCTAATAATTCAGAAAGTGTGCGATAAAATCCAGAAAAGCCATTATATTAAATTTCCTTACATTTGATTACTATCTAAGTCAAGTTTGCGCTGATTGAGCCCTTCTTTCAAAAGTTATGATTTTTTGAAAAATAATGCCGAAAAATCAATTTCCTAAGAATTCTTAAGAAATGGATTTTTTGGCATTTTTTTTCAAAAATTCATAACTTCTCAAAGAAGACCTCGATTAGCACAAACTTGACTCAGATAGTAATCAAATGTAAGAAAAAATAGGATAATGACTTTTCTGGATTTTATCGCACTGTTTCTGAATTTCTAGAATTCTTGCTTAAAAATTCCGAATTTCGGATGATCTCGTTCTTTCATTTTTATCTCTGCCGCCTGAGCACGTCGGAAGCTCCCCAGGGAGCTTTTGGAAACTACATGCTTTACGCTTTCACACAAAATTTGAATTGCGCAAAATCGTTGTGATCGAAAGAAGCTATGATTTTTTGAAAATGGTGCGACAGAACTTTCGGTTCAACCTAATAATAGCGATTTCTTCAGCCAGAGCTCGGCACGAGGTGACTTTTGGAAAATAAAAAAAGAACGGGGTCCCCTTTGAGTTTCGCGAATTTTGACGAAATCCCCTTTGACCTTAAACACCAATCGTAGTAAAAGATCTCAAAAAACGAAACGTCGACCAAAAAAACAATTTTTGTATCTTTTCGGTCTCAAAAATAATATCCCCTTTTGCTTTTTGTCCCAAAAACGATAACCAGCTTGCTTACAAACCACCTGTGTCGAGTCCCGTCTTTAGCTATTTTTGTTATGAATAATAAGAAAAATCTTGAATTTGGTTGATGGAATGCTATTTAGAAAGATCCAAATCTGCTGAATTTGCTCAATTTTTCTATCTTTGAGCGTAATCACATAAAATTCAAGAATTA